ATAAGGTTGTATTGAGGAAAATGTCTGCTAGTGTGGGTGTCTTCCACCTGCACAGAGAGTTTACAAATTGCTTCTTCCACTTCATAGCTAGCCTCCTCAGGGGAGAAGACTTCAGACCTCAGGTATGCTAGTGCCCTGAGCATTCCGTCTCTTGCTGGGCACATTGTGTTCCCCGAGGAAAGGCTGCTGGGGTGGGGGGGCATCTGCCCCACAGCAAAATCTCCCATATCTTCCTGTCAGCCCAATACTCAGTCTCCCAATGGGATGTAGAGACCCTCCAAAGAGCAATTCTCCCCTTGACTGCAGGCCTCCCATCTTCTGCTGCTCCTGTTCTTTGAGGGCAGAGGCATCGTGCCCTCCAGTTAATAATGAACATTCTCATACCTGCTCATACCCTTCCCATTGCAGGGACTCTGTCCTCCTGCAGCTCACCATCAAACCCCCTACCACCCAATTCCTCATTCCTATCCCCCTGAACCCTCTCACCTCAAAGTTTCGTCCTTAATTCCATCCAGCCCTTCCTCAGGGCCTTCTGGAAGACCTGTTTTGTAGATAACAAACTTTGTCTTAAATCTATTTAAGTAAAATCCTTTCCCATTCCTATCTTTTAGCTCTAACTGAACCATGGCTATCCTGATGACACTGCTTCCCTGGCCACCCTTTCCCTGGCAACACCTTCGCTTGTTCTCAGCTCCCATGTTGAGGCAGGGGAGGTGGAATTCCCCTTGCTCCCTGTAGCTACTTCCAGGTTTTCCCTCTTTATCACTCAGTAACCTCTCTTCCCTTTGAGGTTCATACCATTCCTATCCACCCCCCAACCAAAATCCTAGTAGTTGTAGTCTACAGGACCCCAGGTCATTCCCTTTCTTCCTCAGTGAGTTGATATAACCTCCCATGAACTTCTCCACTCTATCACACAAAGATGGTGGGTCGTACCATTGATTTTGCCATCCCCCACAAATGTACCTTCCCCATGTTCAAAAATTCTGATATCCCCTTACCTGACCATAACCTATTGACTTTTCACCTCTCCCTCTGTCTTCCCATACATAACTCTACTCTTCACCTGTACTATGACCTCGAATCCTTTGACCCTTCAGTTATCTCCCAGGCCATCTCCCCTGCACCAGCCACTATCTCTTCACTCCGTGGTGAAACAATTCAACTCTATGCTGTCCTCCTGTCTTGAATCCTTGCCCCCTGATCATATCACTAATTATGTTTAGCCAACCCTCAGCCTTGGATCACTCTTACCATTTATAGCTTTTGAATGAAGCTGGAGAAAATCACACAATCGTCCTGACTGGATCAACTACAAATTTATGTTATGTAATCTGAATTTATGTTACGTGATCCTCCTGTAACTGCCTTATCAAATCACTTTTCCAAACCTTTTCCTCCCTCCACAAACCTTCCATGGCTCCCCTTCCTCTACCCTCTCAGCTGAGAACCTTACCTTATGTTACTCCCTCTTCTCTCATCTTCCTCATCTCCCATAAATCTCTCTGAGACAGGTGAACTCTGTCTCACACAAAGAGGCGATCTTATTCCTTGCCAAGGCTAACCCCCCCTTACCTGCTCAAGCGATTCTGTCCTGTCCTGTCTCCTCCAATAGATTGCCCCTTCAGTCATCCGCACTCTTTCACTTACTTTCAATCTGTCCCTGTCTACTGTCATTTTCTATTGCTTAAAAACATGTCCACGTGTGTTCTCTCCTGGAAAAAAAGACTTTCACTTGATCCTTCTGTCCCTGACTGTCACCCTATTTCTTTTCTGCTCTTTATAGCTTTACTTCTCAAAAAGGCACCTACAATTGGCACCTCCTCCACTGCCTCTCCTCTCAATCTCCTGTTTAAAATAATACTTTATTTCCCCGAAGTACGTGTAGGAACAGTTTTTAACGTTCATTGGTTTTTTTTAAGCTTTGAGTCCCAAATTCTATCCCTGTCCTCTCCCTGAGACAGCAAGCAGTCTCATATTGGCGTACATATGCAATCATGTAAAACGTTTCCATATCAGTCATTTTGTGAAAAAGATTCGAACACAAAACAACAAGTAGAAAGTCTGCATTCAGACAGCGTCAGTTCTTTCTCTGGAGGAGGATAGCGTTTTTCATGTGGAGTCCTGTGGAATTGTCTTGGGTAATTGTGTTGCCGAGAATAGCTAAGTCATTCACAGTTCGTCATATGTTATTGCTGTTAGTGTGTACAGTGTTCTCCTGGTTCTGCTCGCTTTACTTTGTATCAATTCATGTAAGTCTTTCCAGAATTTTCTGAGATCATCCTGCTTGTCATTTCTGGTAGCACAATAGTATTCCATTATTATCATATAACACAACTTATTCAGCCATTCCCCAATTGATGGGCATCCTTTTGATTTCCAATTCTTAGCCACCACAGAAAGAACTACTATCCATATTTTTGATGTCTTTGGGATATAGACCTAGCAGCGCTATTGCTGGATCAAAGGGTATGCACAGTTTGATAGCCCTTTGGGCATTGTTCCAAATTGCTTTCCAGAATGGTTGGATCAGTTCACAACTCCACCAACAGCACATTAGTGTCGCCGTTTTCTACATCCCCTTCAACATCAATCATTTTCCTTTTTTGTCATATTAGCCAATCTTATAGGTGTGAAGTGGTACCTCAGAGTTGTTTTAATTTGTATTTTTCTAATCAATACCTCTCACTTCTTTCTTACCTCCTTACAATCTGGCTTCTGACCTTATCATTCCACCAAAACTGCTCTCCTCAGAGTTACTAAGGCTCTTTTAGTTGCCACACCCAGTGACCTTTTCTCAGTCCTCATTCTCCTCGACCTCTCTGCAGCCAGCACTTTTGATTGCTCTCTCCTCTTTGATGATATCTTCTCTCTAGGTTTCTGGGGTACCGCTCTCTCCTGATTTTCCTCCCACCTGTCTTCCTGATCCTTCTCTGTCTTCTTTGCTGGATCCTTTTCCAGATCACATGTTCTAACGGTAGGTGTCCCTCAGGGCTTTACCCTACATCCTTTTCTCTCCCTATGCTACTTCACTCAGTCATCTCATCAGCTCCCACAGATTTAATGATCATCTCTATGTTAATCACTCTCAAATCTACCTTTCCTGCCCTAGTCTTTCTGCTGACCTTCAGTTTTGCATCTCCAACTGTCTTTCAAACATCTCGAACTGGATGTCCAGTAGACATCTTAAATTCAATATGTCCCAAACTGAACTCATTATCTTTCCCCCTAAATCCTTCCACCTCCCACCTTCCCTGTTAGTGTAGAGGGTAACACCATCCTCCTAATCATCCCCGACTCCTCACTATCTCTCACTCCCCCTACCTCTCCCTACTATCTAAGCTGTTGCTGAGGTCTATTGATTCTGTCTTCACAATGTCTCTCAAATAAACCCCTTCTCTCCTCTAACACTGCCCTCACCCTGGGGCAGGCCCTCATCCTCTTACACTGGACTATTGGAATAACCTGTAGATGGCTCTGCTTGCCTTAAGTCTCTCCACTTTCGGATCCATTCTTCATTCAGCAACTAAAGTGATTTTCCTAAAGTGCAAGAATGACCATGTCACCCCGCCCCCTACTCAGTAAACTTCAGGGGTTCCTCTTGCCTCCAGGAGCAAATACAAAATGTCCTGTTGGTATTCAAAGCTCAGAGACCGGCTCCTAAGGCTGGTTACCTCTGGACAAACTGTCATGATGCTATAAAAACAGTACTAAACAGTAGAGAGTAAAACAAGCCAGCCCGTTTTGTAACAATAGAAAAGCAAGCTTGAAGTTTATATTTGTATTTCAAAGTTCATTAGCCCAGAGAAGTTTAGTTAAATTAGGTCTTTAGGTCATTGCTTTAGTATATGGTGATAGATGGCCTCTGAGGCCCACTTCCAAATCTGAGATTATGTGATCTACCCAAATGAAATACAAACTTCTAAGCTGGCAGTCACCCTTTCTGGAGTGCAAGGTCCCTGAAGGCAGGAACTGGCCTTTGTCTTATCTTTGTATACCTAATGCTCTAATGGGGAGCATCTGATGATTATTGAATTGAATTCTCTTGGAAAAGAGAAATTTGGATATTTAGATATGTCTGCTTTATGTGGCCTCAGGGCTGGGTTTAAAGCCAAGACCTGGGTTTGGGAATTTACTGGACATTGGTACTCAGAAAGCAAGTACAAACAAAAGCTGTATTATTAAGATGTTCCGCAGGCAGGCAAAAAAGCATATACGCATATAATGTGGCAATATAGACAGACAGGTTTGTCCCCATGGATCCAAGAGGCTCGCCCAGCTCAAGGGAAAAGAAGTTGTGTCTGGGAAGGCCCGTGCTCCCAGCTGGGCTTCAGGTAAGGAAGGTTCATACCTTGGAGAAAAGGTAATCAGTGCCACACGTGAAAAGGGGCATTTCTAATCTGACCCAGATGTGGTGGAAATGTTCTTGGGGTCATTTGCCAATGCCAGGTTCGGGGAGGGGAGTTTCTTCCTCAGGATTAGAAATGGGAAGAGGGTTTGAGTTGACTGTCTGACGCAGTGGGAGGGGAATGACTCCTTCAGTAGGCCAGGAGCTTTATCTAACCAGAAGCTTTGAGAATTAAGTGCTTGACACAGGGTTAATACTGGCCAAAATGATGGAAAAGTCCAATCTTTGTCTATGTGCTTGATGGGTTCTGGGACATCTTAGAATATAAGTGACACCGTATTGGAGTCTTGTCATTATAAGTATAACATGAAACAATAAAAAATTACAATTATTGCCATAGCTTAGATGGGATTTTGGATTCTTTTCAATGTTTCTTTTAAAAAATCATAGTTGTGTCTCTATTTTCCTGATCCTTAGGCACACAGTAATAATTGTCTATCATTTAATCAACAGTCACTTAACTTTTGCTCTGTGCTAGAGATACAAAGCCTGTCCTCAGAGAGCATACATTTGAACGTAATAAAAAATGAAAAGTGCCCTCATATTTCCAAGCCTTGGATCCCAGCTAGTGTTTTTTTCTTTTGCTTCTTAGGGGCAGTCCGAACCAGGCAAGGAGGATGTCCACCACCAGGAAGGTCAGCCTGTCTGTAAGCAAAGTGAGCATAAACCACAGTAAAGTCAGCCTGAGCCAAAGCAGAACAGTGCTGTCAAGAACCACAAGTGGGCTCACGGAGGGCAAAGAGAAAGTGTCCTTGCACCATCCAAGGCGGCACATCCAGGTATGTGATTGGCTTGGATGAACTCTGAAAATGAAATGTTAAAAGTGAAACGTCTGGGGGCAGCTAGGTGGCAAAGTGGATAGAGCACCGGCCCTGAAGTCAGGAGTTCCTGAGTTCAAATCTGGCCTCAGACCAAACACTTGACTCTACTAGCTGTGTGACCCCGGGCAAGTCACTTAACCCCAATAGCCAAAAAAAAAAAAAAGTGAAATGTCCGCAGCTCTTGGGTACAGATCCCCTGCACGATGGAAGCAGATAGTGTTTTTGAAGTCATGGCTTCGCCTGCTGCTCTGTGCTCGTGTTCTGCAGAAGGAAATAGAAGGCTGCTCTAGCCGAGGCTGGACCTAAAGCTAACACAAAGCTTTAATAAACATTGTCATTTAATTGGTAATTTTGCAGGCTTCAGAATTTTGGAAGGCTTTCTTGGCCTCATTTGGGTGATTTTTGTCTCTTTAAAAATCTATCTAGGGAGGTTTTTCTCAAGGCATTTGCAGGCAGAGACATTCCGCATTTAATTGGCTTGAGAGCTCTACCTAAAGCTGGAGTTATTCTTCTCCAGTGTAGCCTTCAAATGACCTAAATGTTTGCAGGCCTCAGTGAAGACTGTAGTGCTTAGGCTTTTAAGAGGTTTCATCTCTCAAGCTGCCTGGCCCTCTCCAGGTTTTTTCCCTCTGAGGGTCAGCCCTTCAGCTGCAGGGCCTTCCCTGAAGCGGTCAAGTGTGCACAGTCTGTGCTCCTCAGGACAACCCGGTACAGAGTAAACACTGAGCACACACTGTCCAAGAGCCCTTCCCATTGTCTTCTGCCACGAGTTTTGACCTGAACCTTAGCTCTCTGATGATGATTCCTGGATTTCCCTCATGGTAACATTGGCTCAACTCTCCTTGTTGTCCCAGGATGGATTTCCGTTACAGGAGGCTAATGTTGACCTTGAACAGGCCCAGTGCAAGCCAATGCCCCTGAAATAGTGTGTTTTTATGCTCTCCTTGCCTCCTAGACACCCACACCCAGACACATGAGCGTGTACTCACATACCCTCACTCATATACACTCACACTTGCTCACACACACATCCTCACATACACAGACACACACACACACAGACACACCCACACCCACACACACCCCCCCTCTCTCCTTCCAGTTTCCCATTATAGACAACTCTGAACGGGGAAGGACAAGACGTAAGGAGCCATGTAGGTCCCAGCAATCATTTTTCTGTCCTTGCTCCTTGTCCCATCTGTCTCAATCCTTGTCCTTTTCTCCATTTAGCTTTTTAAAAAACTGCTCCCTTTGGTTGTCTTAATTTTCTTTGCTATCCTTTGTTGATTCTGAATGCAACGCTCCTGATTCTTTGCCTACGGCGCCATGCCTTGGATTTGTTCTTCGATCTTGGTCCCACCTTCTGTCCATGGCTCCTTAAAATTTACATCGGTTAATCATTTCCCTGTGTGTTAGCATAGGTCTCTTTATACAAATACCCCATTCTCGTGCTTATTAGAATTGCTTCTCTTTGTAGCCTCAGATTTTCATGTTCTTTAATTAAATTTTCTTTTCAATTATCACACATTTCCCAAGTGAAATGAAAGAAAAGTAAAACCCATATCACAAATATGCCTAGTCAAGCAAAAAAGAAAAAAAAAATCCCCTCCCATCCATGTCCAAAAATGTGCGTTATTCTGGCATTGACTTCACCCTCGGACTGTTTGCCTAGGAGACACTCCCTAAGCTTTCTCATTGCCCTTTGCAATCTGCTCTTCCAAAATCTGGGCCTGTCCCAAGCTCCAGCGTGGTGGCTCTCTGCCACAGTTCCCATCATCTCCCTCCCCTCCTGGTGGAGGACGATCAAGCAGAGATCCTCCTTGATGGTTCCTCCACCTTTGGAATCGTGAAATGACACGTGGGCAGGGAAGTCCGGACGTTGTAGCTTCTCTGCCCCAACAGCACGGGAGCCCCAGCAGATGTCTGGTGATGAGGCATCCTTCCAGAGCCCCAGTCAGCTCTTGTGGAGCCAGGTTCAGCAGTCCCTGAGATCACAGTACCTCCTTGGCTTAGACTCTCTGGCTTCCTTTGATTGTCCTTCGTTTGCCCACTTATGTGTCCACCTGGAGGTCATGTCAGTCTTAGACGGTCTTCATTATCTCCTGCCGCAGAATCCCAAGATGGCAGACGTCCCCATCTCGGGGGCCATGCCTCTTTCCTTGACTGTGAGGAGAGTTTTCCTGACCTCTAGCCTAATCCGTCTCTTTACAGTCTCCCCATCGCTCCTGGCCCTGCCCCCGGGGCTGCAGCAGGCCAGTACAATTCATAGTCCATGTGAAGGTAGCACCAGTGTTCATTCCCCTGGAGCCTTCCCTTCTCCAGATTCCACATCTCACGATCCTTCAGTCAGAACTCACATGGCCTAGATTCAAAGCCCTTCACCATCCTGTTTGCCTCCAGACATTTTCCTGTTCAGCTGTGCCTCTGCTCACCTGCAGCACCTGGAGCGGAACCCAGTGCTCCAGAACCTGGGCATGGGCTCCTGACTGCTTATGTCTTTATTCCTGGCATTCCTCCTGCCTCTCCCTGTAGCCCTTGGCTATACTAGCCGTGGGGTCTGCAGGTCCCAGTGAGCTCAGAAGCTGCTAAAATCCCCGACTCTTCTGCAGACAAACTGCCAGCCAGTGGTGCCTCCTCTGTGTTTTACTTGGAAAGTTGATTTTGAAAAGCATAAGTATAAACTTTTCATTTATTCCCATGAAATTTCATGTAATTGTATTCTCCTCAGTCCTTTAGCCTGGAAGAGCTGTCTTATATCCTTATTTGTAGGTGTGTTAGCTTTCCCTAGCTAGCATAGGCAAGTTTGATCATCCTGGCATCTCGGCCTCTATGCAGTAATTGATGAAATGGCATACTGCACAAGACTGAGCATGGACAGAGCCTTGGAGCCCTCCACTAGACACCTTCTGCCAAGCTGGCACTCCTTTGTTCCTGATTTCCTTCCCTCTATGGAATTTAAAGCCCTTCTCAGTCTTCACCCTCTGCTTCCAGACAGATCGTACATTATTTCCACATAGGCCCTCTATGCAAGACAAATTTTAAGGATATACAGAAATATCCACCGCTCTTTTCCAAGTGGCAAAGAATGGGATCTGAGCCTGTAAATTGGGGAATGGATGAAAAAGGACTGTGAGAAAATGCTGTTTTGCTGAATTCTTTGTCAGCATAATGAACAACCAAGATTCTGGAGGACTCATGATGGAGTATGCTGCCTGCCTTCTCATAGAGGCATGAAGGGTTCAGAATGACACCAGTATTTCTAGGACATGACCAATATAGAAATTTGTTTTGATCAACTCTATGATTTGTAATGGGTTTTGTTTCACTTGTGTTCTCAATTGGGTCAGGGAGTAGCATTTAGAGGGGAGGGTGGGTGTCTTGACTGACTTAAACAAAGTATAGAAAGAAAAAAGAAAACTTGAAGACTCTGATGAACGCAGTGACTAACCGTAGTTCCTAAGGACTCACCATGAATCCCGCTGTCCACCTCCTGACAAAGAGGTGATGGGCTCAGAGCCCAAGTGGAGACATGCTTTTAGACGTGGTTAATGAGAAATTTTGTTTTGTTTGATGTATGTGTATATGCATATATGTATGTATGTAGCACACTTGTTTGTAACGTGTTTTTGCTTCCTTACTGGGGGCGGGGCAAGGAAATGGGAGGGAGAGAAGGCTGATTTTTGAAAATAAAATTTAATTTTTAAAAAAATGTAAGGAAACTTCACTAAAGCCCTACCTTGGTGTGGATGGCACTAGACTCTTGCAGTCTCTGCTCACATAGCACAAGTTCTGGGAAGTACCAACAGACCAGGTCAGGAAGGCTTCAGGTTTGCGTCTGATGACGGGTTTCTATTTCTCTTAGTTGAGACCAAGCCTAGCCAAGTTCAGAGACTTTCCTCCCTGAGTGGAATGCAAACGATGGGTTTTTCAGATGCAGCAACTCTTGCATCATCTGAGGGAAACCATAGACCATTGAAGTGATCGATTCTTAAAGGACTGATTATGAATTGTATGATTGAAGTCAAGTATTAATATTCGTTATATTGGAGTGATCCTAGGTTATGTCAAAGAGTTTTTCTTAAATAATTATGCCCACCTAGTGGAATTTTCTTAAGGAGAACTTAATTTTTTTTTTTTATCAGAAAAACCCATATAATTGCATTTTTCATCTTTATCCTATTTTAGTTGTGTTCTGCCATCCACATGTTTTCTGTTCATGTTTTACATGTTCCTTTTTACATGATTGCTTTTGATTGTTGTAATTTATAGGTATTTGATGAACTTGGGAATGACGTCACTCCTAGACCCCTTTTCCGTCCAGATCCACATTTTCCTGGATCCAGAAAGCCTAGTAGGCTGCTCGTGTCCCAGGATGTGTCTCTTGGATCAGACTATGCAGGCTCCTACACCATGTTTCAGAATACCTTGAACCCCAGTCTGGTGGGGCAGTTCACAAGGTAGGAAGCAGCATGCTGCGTTTCTGCTAATGATATGGAATTTGAGGTTCTTTTTATGTCATGGAGAGCTGATAGATGTGTATATACATGTATGCACTTACCAGTGGTGACTTAAAACATTTACATGGGTGTGCATTGTGATGGAGCATTGTTAGGGTCAATTTCTTCAAAGACAGGCTTTCTATAACAACACAAGTAAGTGCTTAAATACTTGTTGATTATTAATCTTTTGATTCTTTTATTTTAAGACAAGTTTTTGTATAAACTCCCATTTAAGATCTGTACCATGCCTATGGGGCATACATAAGAGTGAGTTCATTTAGAATCTGGAATCTGTCCTACCTAAATAAAAGAACATTATGTTGTTTTTTGGTTATGTGTATTATGAGCAAATTTCTCATGAAAAAATTGTGCACTGATAACTTTTCCTGCTCTACTCTTTGAACGTTGTACATCTCATGACAGCTTCTCTTTACTTTCTTTCCCCCCCTCATTATGCTTGTGTGACGCCGGGGGTGGGGGGGATAGTTTTATCTGCATTTCCATTATTTTTATCTCCTAGAGGAGCTACATTTCAGTCCTAAAAGTTTTATCATCATCCCTTCCCCTCCAAGATTGGTCCTATCCTGTCTTGGTTTGTTATTATTTCTTTATTTTTGATATTAAAACTTTTTTTTAGTTACAAATTTTCTCTCTTTCCATTGAGAAAGCAAGCAATCCCTATCCCTTCTTTGAATCTCTTCTTATCCTAAAAGCTTTAACAAGCCAGCATTTCTGTTCTTATCATTCCTTGCTAGGCCCTGCTGATTCTTAGTGGATAGTGCTGGCCTTGCAATCAGGAAGGTCTGGGTTTGAATCCTGTTTTAGATACTATGCAAGCATAAGAAGAGCTCTCTCCTGTTTCTGTGGGAGGGTTGGGGAAGGGTATTATCAGAGGGTAAGGAACAACCCCAGTGGGGAGAAGCATGGAGAATTAGTTGAGGGAAGTTAAAGGATACCCATGTTACCGTCAAGGCCCAGGTGAGAGTAAAAAAATAGAGATTTGTATTCGACCTGGTTGGGTCGAATTCCTCTTCCTCACTTAGGCAGCACATGAAGAAGGGGAGGAAGGAAGGCAGAGGGCGAGTGTCATCAAGGGACAGGGTTTGGCCAAGTCTGCATGTACACTGAAGCCTGGTAGCTTAAGGGGAGGGACTGGGGTTTGTGAGCCAGGCTCTGAGCTCCTTGAGAAAGAAAGGACGATAAGCCATCAATGAAGGCCAGTGAGATCTGAGTCAGATGACAAATTTGGACCAGATGAAGAAGAAGGGATGGCTGCAAAGGGAGAGTCTGGAAATGGAAATGAGAAGGAGGGGGTATGCCAATGAGAGAAGGCACAGCCAGTACTGGAGGGGACAGGCAGAGAGGCAGGATCATCTTGGGGGGAGCCAGGTCTCTGTGAGTGCCAGAAAATAGAGGGAGCGGGAGAGGAGAAAGTCTTAAATGAAAGGAACTGGGTGATGGAACAGTAATTCCAGAGGGCACAAGTGAAGGGGTGGGCCTACCTGTAGGGCCTTGAGATAGACAGTGGGCACAGCCATCCCCAAAGAATGTAAGACAAACATTACACAGATGGCAGTGAAAAGGCACAGGGCAGGGAAGAAAGGTCCACAACAGTCAGCCAGTGAAGAAGGCCACAGCTGGCATCATCTTCTTAGCTGGTTTTATACTTTCAAAACAAGCTTTTTTCTTGAGAAACTCTTGCCTTCAGTAGGTGGCAGTGTTAAAAAAAAAACCAAAAAAACAACACAGAAACCAGAACTACTCAGGCACTTGAGATCTCGCCATAAACTTCGTAATCCTTTGTCTGTTCTCTGAATTCCTTCTGGCAGTCTTGTCCTCATTGGAACCTCATTGCAGGTAGGTAGTAATCATGGTACGAAATGGGATTATTGGCAGCTTGAAAAACAAAAAGCAAATGCTGACTCACTCTTGCTCCTATGCTGTCCTTCTGAGACCACAGGTTGGAGAGGCTTTAAAAAAAACCCTATAGACTCTGTAAAGGCATCCCTGAGGCCCTCCTAAAATTGGGCTCTGAAAACTCATCTCTGACTTATGATTTTCTTCAAAGGTTATGAGAGTACGTTGTCTCAAGCATCATGTAACTAAAAGTTACTACAGTTGCCTTCTAATATTCCATTTTCTGTTTATTTCAATGTTGCCTTCAGGAACATACATATGCATACTCTCCCTTCTCCTGATAAATCTTTTTTCATTACTAAAGGTCAGCATTAGGGAGCAGCACTGTTTCTAAGTCAAGTGCATCTACAACGGAGTCCATGGGAGAAGACCTGGAAGAGTCACCTTATAGACGAGAAGCAGTATCCATTTATGTTGGTAAGAAGAAAATAATGCATGCATTGATGGATAGACAAACAGATAGACATGGAGACAGACAGACAGATATAGATAAGAGATATGGAGATAGACATATAGATAAATGAGAGATATGGAGAGAGGTAGATGATAAATATGGAGATAGATGAATGGATGGATGGATGGATAGATGTTAGATATGGAGAGATGGAGAGAGATAGATGGATGATAGATATGAAGATAGATGAATGGATAGATAGATGATAGATGGGTGATAGATAAACAGACATGGAGAGATAAATGGACAAATAGATAGATGACAGACAGATCAATGGATAGATACCTGTGATTATATTGGTATAGGGAACTCCTAGGTGAGGAAGCTCCCTCCACCTATGCAGGGTAGCCCCTTCTCTGCAATTTATAGTTTCAATTGAAGAATTGCTTAGACCATTGAAAAGTTTAGTGATTTGCCCAGGTCACATGGCCAGTATGTGTCAGAAGCAGAACTAGAAACCAGATCTTCCTAGGTTGGAAGCCAATTCTGTATTATACCTCACTGCCTCTCTCTAATATGTATGAAGACTCAAATGCTTTGTAATTAATAATGAAAAATAATAAAATAAAATTTGATCCATAAAATAATAAAAAGTTGATGCACTAAATATATGGAACTGGAGGCAGCTAGGTGGCAGTGTAGTGGATGGAGCTCTGGACCTGGAGTCAGGAAGACCTGAGTTCAAATCCAGCCTCAGACACTTACCAGCTGTGGACACCGGGCAAGTTACTTCATCTCTGTCTGCCTCAGTTTCCTCAGATGTAAAATGATACTAATGCCCCCTACTTCCCAGGGTTGTTATGAGGATCAAATGATTGTTTCCTTCCTTCTTAAATTTATGTATATGAACACCAAATATATTTCAATGAAGCCATTTTAAAATTAATTATAGTGCATATTGTGTGACCTTGACTCATCTATGCATGAGCCAGACTTGTAAAATAAGGCCCATGTTCACGGGGATTCTGCACTCAGAAGAGCAGTTATGAACCAGCTTGTGCTCCTGCCCCCGGTGAGCATGCAACTTTAACCACCAGCTTGGGGGGAGCTCCCAGCCCGGCCCTGGGAAACACCCTTCTCTTCTGCAAGGCTCCCACGATGCCCTCATTCTGCGGACAGAGAGGTCTCTAGCAGCGCACAGTGTTTATGAAAGGAGGAAAACCATTTATTAAACACCCACTGTGTGCCAGGTTCCGGGCCAAGCGCTTCACAAATATGATTCATTTGGTCTTCATGACACCCTGCGAGGCGGGTGCTCTTATGAGCCCCATTTTGCAGTTGAGGAAACTGAGGTAGACAGAGATTAAGAGACTTGTCCAGAGTCACACAGCTAGTGAGTGTCTGAGGCTGAATTTGAATTCAGGCCCAGCGCTCAATGCGCTGTGTCACCTAGCTGTTATGAGAGGCAAATATAATTGATGAGAAGTAATATTAAATCCGGCCAATGTACTCTTTAACAGAATAAACTTAAGCAAACATAAAAGAAAGGCCAGGGCTGGGAAGGACCTGCACTTCCTTTCCTCTCCCCCAGGGTAAAGCTGGCACAATCACGAGTCCTTCCCCCTCTGGCACCAGCCACCAACCTGGTCACACAGCTGCTGGCGGCCGACCTCCAACTCTCCCTGGTCTCCTCATTCTCTTCCTCCAGGACAGTCTTCAAAACCCACCTGAAGCCCTGTAAAACACCATGGCCCCCCAAGGCTGGACTCACTGTTTGCTCCTCTCCTCCCAAACTAGGAAGAATGACCCAGCCCAGGGGGTTTGTGGTCCACCAGCCCTTTGCCCGGGGGTGTTCCAAGTGCTTTCTCAAAATGTGTGAAATCTAACCCTAACCCTCTCAATCGGTGACCCCTGGCATAGAGCACATTCAGAATCTTTTCTGGCAGAGTGTGGCCTGCTGAGTGCGTGGGGCTCCTGGGCTCTTCCGGTCGGGTGAAGCCCGGGAGCCAGGCCCTGCTTGATAGGGAGCCGGCTGGGCTCGGGGGTTCTCCCGCTTCAGCCTCAGCAGGACCTGCCGAGGGACTCGTGACACAAGGGGGCGATCTGGGCCGGCAGACGCGCGCTTCTCTCCCCGTGCTGGCGGAAGGAGCGGCGCATAAACGTCATTGCTGATCCCTTCCGGCTTCCCCCCGCTGGCTTCCTCAGAATGTCTGCGGCTGACGCTGCTTAGTTTGCTCTTCGACTCAGGTTTCTTTCTTTCTTTCCCCCCCTTGTTGCTTTTCACCTGTTTTGTTTGGTGGCACTGCTCGTCATAGCCCGCCATCCTTCTATGCGAGATTTAACCAACAGCCATCAGTGTTGTCTTGGGGCACGCTTGGCAAGGAGACCAAGTCTGCAGAAGGGAGCAGTTTCTAGGCTCTGGGTATCTGCACTGGGGCTCTTGATTTACAGCATGGTTGGGAGGGGCCCACAGAAGCTGCCTCGTCCAGCTGGTGCAGGACTGCCTGGAGGCATTGCTGACTGGTCGGCGGTCATTCAGGCTGCCTCTGTCTTTATAGAGAGAGGAGGAGTGTCCTTCCCCCCCCCCCCCATTCTGTGGGAAACCGTGCGGTCCAGCCTGAATCAGCCTCTCTGTAACTTCCACCTGGGGGTCCTGATCCTTCCCCGGGGCCAATCAGAAAAACGGCTAATTCTTCTAAATAACCACCCTTCGAATAGTGATGATAGCAGTCATCATCAAAATAAGAGTGCCTAGGATTCTTGTGGTATTTTAAGGTCTGCAGAGCTTTTTACAAATATCTCATTTGGTCCTCAGCAACACTCAGAGGTAAATTATTTCCATTGTACAAATGAAGAAACAGAGGCAGAACAGAGTCACTCGCCCAGGATTACAGCTAATAAGGGTTGGAGGCAGAAGTGAACTCTTTTATTTCTGACACTCTGGACACTGCGGCACCATCTAGTGGCCTAATATGCTCTTCATCCAAGTACATCTTCTCCAGGCTAAATGTGCTTTCTCCTTCAACCAGTCCTGAAGCGTGTTAGTCTTTGGTTCTCTCCCTCCCCATCTCTCTCTCTCCCGCCCCACCGGTGCTCTCTTCTGCTTGCAGTCTTGCTCGTCCATGTTCTAAAATATGATAGACACTCAGAGTTCAGCCCAGTCCTCCAGGTGTGGATGGACCACGCCATCGTAGAGAACATTCTCCTCTCTCCTGTGCGTCATTTATGTCTGTGAGTGACAGCGTAAGGCCAGAAACAAGTGAGAGTTGTTCTAACAAGGACTGATAGCATGCTTATCTGAAACCTTTCGACTGAAGATGGAAAAGAGATGCATTGGTAATGTTGATAGTCGTTGAGTATGGACATCAAATGAAAATCATTGGGCCTTTTGTTCATTGACCCTCTCCTTAATAAGTGGACAGCTACTTAATAAGAGCATTTCAGTTGTTTGGGAGGTCTTCCAAACCACCTTGAACAGCTGGATACAATGAAAAGAGCATCCGATGTGGAGTCAAGAGAGTTGAGTTGGAATCCCAAACTTGACCCTTACTATTTGTGTGACCTTGGGCAAGGAAATGCATTTCTCTGGGGCACAGATTACTCACGTGGAGAATGAATTGCCTGGACCTCACTTCCCTTTCAGCTCTCCCTCCTTTGACTTGGATTAGAAGCTTCCTAAGAGCACTCATTTTTTCACCAGACTTTGTTTTCAATGCTTGATGAACAATTCTTTTTTATCTCTGTTCTGTTCATTTGCTTTTCTAAAAGTCATCAGAAGGAAACTTTGTCTTGTCTTTTTTTTTTTTTTCTGGGGACCTCTTTCCAAGTATGTTGACATTGCATTAATTCACCTGAGACCTCGTAGGAGACTTACTCTCTAAAAATGCATTGTGAGCTCACCCACAGCCATTGGGCACATTTGTAAGAGGGTTCCCGAGACATATTTCCCCATCCTTTTCAGGGACATCCTTGCCTTCATGACATTTACGTGACACAACCATAATAATCATGCAATAATAAATAGATATTTTAATATAATAATGATAGCTGACACATACATAGTGCTTTGAGGCTGGCAAAGTGTTTTATGTGCATTATTTAATATTTAAATGTATTTGTTTAGGTAGCATAGCATAATGCGTAGAGAAGTGACCTCACGGGGTTCTAGTCCTGCCTTTGACATGCACTGGCTCCATCAACCTGGGTGAGTTATTTGACCACTCAGTGATCTGGGCAAGTCTCTAAGACTTTGAGTTGGGGAGAAAGGGCTGAGCTACATTGGTAGAGAGGGTTTCTTCAATAGGAATTCCCAGTTCTAATGAAATCAGAGTTGTGGTCCCCATGCGCATCCCTCTAAGTGTGCTAGCCTTCAATTATGAGAAAATTTGATAAACTAACACACTGCATTCCCATCTGCCCTGGTTAACCTCGAAGTATCCTGACTGCATGAGAAGGGTAGGCTACAATAGAAGGTTTCGTCCACCATGTCAGTGGTAATGAAATTCACCTCTATCACTGGTGGTTAGATAAGTGGATGTAAAATTATAAGTTGAAAATGCAGATTAATGAATAATCTTGTTTGATCCTTTGGAAGATCTCCAACTTAAGAAAGAAGTGCCCAAAGTCCTAACGAAAGAAGAATTAGATGCTGAAGTGGACATCTACCTCTCTGAGACGGAAACCCTGTGGCTCTTTAATCTCCCAACAGTCATGCATTCTATAGAGTCTGAAGAAGCTGAGAAAATAAAGTACATCAGTGTTTGTTTGCTCTTTTTGTTATTGAAATGCCAAATGTTATTAAAAACATAGGTAGCTGTCAAGTTGCATCAAGTGATAACTTTGTTTTGAGGATTAGTTTTTATTCATATTCATTTTTCTGTGCACCTGGTACATTTTTTCACTCAAAAATTGTGTTTTTTTTTTTTTTTAGTTATAGAATTTGTTTCTGCCAGTGGGGTGGGGTGGGATGTCAGTAAGGTGTCAGGGGCTTTTGACTCTGAAAATAAAAGAACTTGTTGTACTTGGACAATTACTGTTTAGGAAGTGGCTGGACAGAATACCAGGGAAATCACCTATTCTTTATATGGTTCAGTGGGTGGACCTGGGATATGGAGTCAAGAAGACTTGAATTCAATTCCAGCCCCAGACACAGACTAGCTGTGTGATCTTGGGCCAATCACTTTATCCCATGTGCCTCAGTTTCCTCATCTGTAAAATGGAGACAAATAATAGTATCTCTCTTACAGGGTTATTGTGAGGATCAAAAGAGATAATGTTTGTAAAGTGCTTTGTGAACCTTAAAGCACTCTATAATGCTATTATTATTATTTTTATATCCACTAGGACACTGAAGTTAACTGAGACAGTTTCCCACATAGCAATAGCACTGAAGCTGTAATGTTACCATTTACTTTAATTTCACCGTTACTAAATTGATTTTTAGAGTATTATCTTCTCCCAAGTAAAATAAATTGTAGAAACAGCATAATAATTAAAACTTAATGTCAGTATGGACCTCTGTGGGGTATGATGTTCAATCACATATCCTCCTTCCCCAAAATCTAAAATATCCATGTCAAGGAAACCCTGTTGGTGGATAGGTGTAGCAAAAGCTCAATAAAGCTGGTGGGGGGAGCATTTTCTGGAGGGTTAGAGTGAGTCTCTATTCTGGGAAAGAATGGCTGAAGGTTATAGGCCCAAGAAAAACACAGCAGTAACAGGTGATACAGGTGCTGTGAGCGTGGCTGCCATGTTATTAACTAGCAGGATTCACCTTATTTTTCAAAGGGAACGGAACATGCTCTATGAGACTCTTTGTAAAAATCGAGCTGGCAACGACTTATATGTTGAAAGGGTGATGCAGACTTTTACTGGAGCGCCCAAGCACAAGGAAGTTCAGTGTGATAAAATCCTAACAGAAGAAAAAGGTAATTGATGGATTCTTGATCTCTGATGGAAGACCAGGTTCCATGATGACCGGGCGTGCCCTTGAACCGATTCAGCAATCCTTCACTGGGCACCCAGCAGGTTCCTGGCTCTGTTAAGGATGGGGACAAGGAGCTATTGCTTCAGCTGAGAAAGAATGAAGTAGCTAGGACAGTGTATATGTGTGTGTATGTATGTGTGTACATGTGTATGACTATGTGTGGACCTGTGTGTATGTGTATACGTGATGTGCTGTAGAAATGCCAGGAAGGAAGGGATCCATTTGGATTAGAATCATCAAGGACAGTTTCCGATGGAAGGGGAATGTTGAATTCAGACTGGAAGGAGAGATAAGATTTGGATAGTTGGAGGGAAAGAGCAGAGGAGCCACCTGGAGGAGGAAGAGGAGAAGGAGAGGGAAGGAAGCATCCGATTATGGAAGGTCTTGAATGCCAAATCAAGCAGTTGAAAATTATCTATTTTTTATTATACGTGATTCATGTAAGTAGGTTGATTTGAGAAAACCAAAACCAACGATCTGTAAATTATTAAGATGATGGCACACTTTTGTGGCCTCTAGATTAATGGGACTTTGATTCCACGTTCATTCCTGGAAAATAATTTCTTGCTCCAATTATGTTGGTGGTTCTTTCTCAGCCTGTAGTCTTGCAGGTATTGCTAACATCATCCAGGAAGCCCCGGATCATCCTGAAGTAGGTGAGGAAATCGGGGTTGAGATTTTTGTTTCCGGTAAACTTGCTCGACTTCTTTCAGTCACCAGCATCTTTTTTCTCTTTCTCTCTGGCTGTCTAGGCATAATGTCCACCACTTGGACTTTGTATGATGCTTATAACGCCTTGGAATTTCCTGCTTCAACAATGAAACCAGAAACAGGGAAGTCAGAAAGTATGCTAGAGGTGGTGAGGAAGGACCAGGACTCCAAATATCTGAGCACTACAGACAGAAGTATGTTCCAGGTTGCTTTTGTTCGTGACCTTTTCTATGTGCTTTTTCAAATCAATTTTGTGCAAAACACAAAACTCTTTCTTGAGAAATCACACTGTTGATGCACTGTACAATCATAATAGATCTTAGACTATAGTTTTTAAAAATGCAAATTATCAATTTTTGTCCCTTGCCCCTAAAAGTACATCAATACAGTTGTCAAAATATCTCACTTAGGGGGAATATTGGATCAAGCCACCTACTTAAAGAGCAGAAGACTTTGCACATAAGACTTACTAAATGATGATTAACACTGTGCCTGTCACATAGTAGGCGTTTAATACATGTTTATTGATTGATCAATAAAAGAACTGATGGTGACTACATGTGGGAAAATTATTTTTTAAACAGAGATCCTTTAAAGCATTAGGTGTTGACATACTAAGACATTAGTTAGAATTTGATTCAGAATCAATGGAAAGCTCATGTTTGCTAAATATCCACGGTTGTATTCCAGTTAGTTCGTTGGTCTATTTTCTCTTAAAACCTTTCAGCGCCGGATTCTTCTTAGATTGCTATATTGCACTCGTAATGAACCTTTTGTGTCTTCGTGCTCACAACATAGTGTTGTTGCATGATAGACCACTTACATTACGGAACAGTTATGCAGAAGGTTGGGGAGGGGGTGGGAGGGAGCTCCTCAGGGGAAAGGGCACTTTACCCAATTCCCAAGATATATCTGAATGCATTGAAAAGGTAATGCTCAAATTTGGAACTATCCCCAAAGGGCTATAAAACTGTGCATACCCTTTGACCCAGCAATACCACTTCTAGGTCTGTATCCCAAAGATCCAAAAAAAGGGAAAAGGACCCACATGTACAAAAATATTTATAGCAGCTCTTTTTGTGGTGGCAAAGAATTGGAAATTGAGGGGATACCCATTAATTGGGGAATGGTTAAACAAGTTGTGGTATATGAATGTAATGATATACTATTATTCCATAAGAAATGTTGAGGGGCAGCTAGGTGGTGCAGTGGACAGAGCACTGGCCCTGAAGTCAGGAGGACCTGAGTTCAAATCTGGCTTCAGACCAAACACTTGACACTTGCTAGCTGTGTGACCCTGGGCAAGTCACTTAACCCCAATTGCCTGAAAAAAAAAAAGAAAAGAAAAAAAAGAAAAAGAAATGTTGAGCAGGCGGACATCAGAAAAACTGGAAAGACTTGCATGAACTGATGCTGAGTGAAGTGAGCAGAACCAGGAAAACATTGTACACAGTAACAGCAACACTGTGCAATGATAAAACTTTGATAGACTTAGTTCTTTTAAGACAATTCCAAAAGACTCATGGTAGAAAATGCTATCCACATCCAAAGAAAGAACTATGGAGTTTGAATGCAGATTGAAGCATGCTATTTTTCCTTTTTTTCCCCTTTTTTGGTGGATTTTCCCTTTGTTTATAATTCTTCTTTGCAACATGACTAATGAGACAATACATTTAATATGATTGTACATGTATGGCCCGTATCAGACTGCATGCCATCTTGGGTGGGGGGAAAGGAAGGAGGGGGAGAAAATTTAAAACTCCAAATCTTCTAACGGTGAATGTTTAAAACTAAAAATAAATATTAAAAAAAAGAAAAGATAATGCTCAACAAGATGAATCTTTGGAGTCTTCCTGATAGTGCTTGGTTTTTGATGTGGTAAATCGCACTATACGGATTAAGCTGTTGGCAATGGCTTGTCGCACTGCCGTCCTTGAATACCAGTGTGGTAAAGGGAAGATCAGACAAATGGACAAATGGGATAAAAATTGTTGAGCGCTTACTATGTACAGGGCACTGGGGACACAGAGAAAAAAGCCAGGCAGCCCCTCCTCTCCAGGAGCTCACATTCTAACAGGGGAGACAGTAGGGACCAAGGGTTGGGCTGCAGGTCAGATGGAAAGGTCCCGTAGTCCTTAGGCAGCAAAGAGAGGGCCACATCTCCTCTTGATGCCATTTCTACTTCCTGTCAGCTTCTGATGCTGAATCATTTGACAGGGACAAGGACTTTGGTGGGAAGAACTTTGATTTTGGGGTCTTTGGTAGCAGTGGCCCCAAGATCTCCAGGAGCAGATACCAGGCGGCATCTCCCTGGGGGCTGCTTCCCTGGGTAATGGTGGAGGGCACTGGGTTGAAGCAGTGCTGTTCTTAAGGCTCTTGGGTTGACTCTATCAGGGTCTGATGGTGGTCAGGGTGCTCTGATAGCCTGCGACCAGCTACCTGTCATCTGTCCTTCAAGGGAGAGATTCAAAATATTCAAAACATATTCAGAATAACCAGTTGGGAAAACGGTGCACTAATATGACGTTCGGGATGTGGCAGGGACTTGTAAGTCTGCTTTCTTTTGTATTCCGAGTTACTTTAAAATGGTCTGACCTGGATTACAGGTAACCACTCTCAACATCTCTTAATTTTCAAGGGTCTTTACTAGGTAAGACCAGAGATAAAGAAAGTAATGGGTACAGCTATTCTGGGAGGACATGCTTAGTTTCCTAAGTTGGGTTTGTTTTTTCATCACATTCATATATCATCCTTCTCCCCATTTTATGTAACGTTATATTGACAAAATGCAAGGGATAGGGATTGTTAGTGTCCCCCTGATTTAATGAGTGTGGGGAGCTCTCAGATGAGGAAGTTCTCTCTAGCAAAGTAGGTCGGCCCTGAGAGTATTCCTGGGGCCTGGAGAGGGGATGTGACTTACCCACAGTCACACAGATACTTATTTCTACAGATAAATTCTAAACCGAAACGACCCAGGCAGCATTTTATTCCGGGCATGTCTAGATCCTTTGGAGCAGATATCACTTGGCATCCCACGCTCTTTCCCCTCCTAGAGTCAAGTAAAAGAGAGATAGATGAAGAAAACAGCAGAAAATAAAAATGACAACAAAATCAGAGAAACTCTGCCTTCTTCCTTCAGTTTTGAGTTACCCTCACTGTTCTCGCTCGTAGCCATAATCCATTCCCTTACCCCCACCCCAAACACAGGCTCCTCAAAGAAATGGAGAAAATGAGTTACTCCCCCTCCCCTACCAAAGGGGGAGACCTTGCCATGGAAACCACACATTCTTGCTTTTTTATTCTCTTGATAATATTCTTTTCCTATCCCTTATGCACATGGTGGCTGGAGAGATGGAGTCAGAAAGGGTTCAAATCCTGTCCCAGCTCATTCCTGGCTCAGTGACCTTGGGCAGGTCACTTACTCTTAGCCTCAGTTTCTTTATATGTAAAATGGGGCAGCAGGGTACTGGGTTGCCTCTGGGCTCCCTTCCAGCCCCACATCTCAGATGCCAAGCAGTCCAGTTTTTCCCTGGGGAATAAACAGAGGATGAGGGTGGTCTATGAATACCTTCTCAGTGGTTGGTTCTCCCTTTTGTCAAACTCCGTGGTCATTGGTTTCTTTTTGAAAGGAGTTTTCCTCCCCAACAGACAATGTTTTATCAATATCCTAATCTCTTAAAATTCTCTGCCACAGTTTTCCACTAGACTATTACAAACACTACCTGTGCTTTAGGAAGCACCTTCTGGGCATGGCCAACTCCCCTCACAACCAACATCCTTTGAAAAATTAATATTTTATTTTCTCCCAATTATGTGTAAAAACAATTTTAACGTTCATTTTAAAGAAAATATTCATTTTGAACTTAAATAGAAAAAAGACAAAAAAGCATTTCCACATACAGAGCACAACATAAAAAAGATTCAGTATAAAACCATGAATTTCCATTTCACACTGTTGACTTTTTTTTTGAAGAACTATGTAATAAATACTACACATTTTCAAAGCTACCCTGCTTTTCTGTGCTTCCTTCTGAGTTTTCTTTTGTTCTCTGCTGTGCGTATTTAATTTTTTTCTCCCTCCCTCCCCACCCCACACTAGAAAAGGCCATTTGACACAGATTAATACATATATGTGAACCTATACTATACATACGTCTTTTTATCAGTTCTTTCTCTGGAGGTGGATAGCATCTTCCTTCATAGGTCCTTTGTAGTTGATTTGTGTGTTTGTAATATTCAAAATGACTTAGTCATTCAAAGTTACTCTTAGAAGAATATTGTTGTTACTGTGTACAACATTCTCTTGGTTCTGCTCATTTCACGCTTCACTATTTCATGCAAGTCTTTCCTTGTTTTTCTAACATCAACCATCTCATCATTTCTTATAGCACAGTAGTATTCCATCATAATCATATACCATAACTTGTTTAGTCATTACCCAATTGGTAGGTATCCCTGCAGTTTCTATTTCTTTGCTCACCACAAAGAGAATAGCCATACATATTTTAGAACATAGAAGTTCTTTTGCTATTCCCCTGACCAACTTGGGAGAGATTTACTTGTGGTGTTGTTGGGTCAAAGAGTATAGACAGTTTAATAACTCTTTGGGCATAATTCCAGATTGCTCTCCAAAATGGTTGGGTCAGTTCACAATACTACCAACAATGAATGAATGTCCCAATCTGTCCACATTCCCTCCAACATTAATTGTCTTCTCCTATCATTTTAGTCAATCTGATAGATGTGAGATGATATCTCAAAGCTGTTTTAATTTGCATTTCTTTAATCAATAGTGATTTAGAGCATCCTTTCATATGACTATATATAGTTTTGATTTCTTCATCGAAAAATTGCCTGTTCATATATTTTGATCATTTATGTATTGGGGAATGACTCATATTCTCATAAATTTGACAAAGTTCTTTATGTATTTTAGGTGTGAAACCTTTATCTGAGAAACTGTCTATAAATTTTTTCTCCCAGTTTTCTGTTTTCCTTCTAATCATGTCTATATTGATTTTATTTGTACAAACGCTTTTTAATTTAACATAAACAAAATTATCCATTTTACTTCTCACAATGCTCTCTACCTCTTATTTATTCATAAATCATTCTTCTATCCATAAGTCTGATAGGTAATATGTTCCATGTTCTTCTAATTTTCTTGTGATATCTCCCTTTATATCTAGGCCAT